AACTATCGATCTACGTTTTCAGTTTCTCAATATCTCATCGAGAAACTTTCTCACGCCAGTTTTCCCGAGACCTATTTTGATCAGTGCAAACTTCCCCTCAATGGGGTGATTTTGCACTTAACGTATATATATGGGGTAAATGGGCATTCTCAGCAATTTTCAGTGCGAACAGTAAAATCTAATTCCTGACGCCATTTTTAGTCGAATTTCGATAAAACTTATATCATTTTGTAGCTCAAACATTTCTCTACAACCCTATACTAATCTCATCTTTAGAACTTCAGTTATATTTAAATACTATTGATTCTGCGAAGAGCTCCAGAAAAAAATTCGATGCAAATTTACCCCATTGGGGCGAAATGGGCACTCACATATATATGTGTGGGGTAAATGGGCATTGCCACTTCTTTTAACTAGGACTTCTAAAAACTAATTTCCAAAAGATCTTTACATTTTTTGAATATTCCTTTGACAAAAACATTTATCTTATCTTGTTATACATCTCTATAGCTCTTATCAAGTATTGAGTAGTGACAGATCATGAGTAACACGACAACTACGACTAGAAGTCAACTACTCTACTGAACATGTTTACCTGCAATATTATATTTCGTTCCTTGATACAAATAACTAAGTTTTTTTCAGTCAAAAATGAGTGTTTCTCTATGCATGTTACTCATTTTGTGTTGTTGTTCTCATGGCACTTCATTTACACAAAAATTTAATTTTTTTTTGTTCTTTTCTCTTGGCTGAATTCTCTCTTTGTATCATGAACAGCGCGTCGTATATGACATAATAAAGAGAGAAAAGTATGGAAAAAGAAAGAGAAGAATGTTCCACTATTGAGATAATGCCGGTCACTTCGGCGAGTTAGGCTACTATTGACGAACAATGCCCGTCAATTGATGACAAATTATATATATATATATATATGTTGCGCATTCCATTATGTGTCGTCTTTTCCTCATTCAATCACTTGAACAATTGCCGATGCCACGAATATACAAACGCAAAACAGAAGATAATTTGAAGGCAGCATTATCGCTTATAGAAAATCAAAAGATATCAGTGAAAACTGCAGCTTCTCTATACAACATACCTAGTCGAACAATATTTCATAGGCTTGCTAGAAGCCGAACTGGTGCCAAGCGTGGTCGAAAAACTATTCTTTGTAAAGAAGAAGAGTCACATTTAGTTGATACTATTCTTCTGTTTCCGAAATGGCAGCGACCCATTTCACCATCGGTTGTTATGAGGTTAGCTAAACCTTATATGCTACAATTGGGCAAGGCTGTGTCTCTGAAATCAACTCTTCGAGATTGGTTCTATGGTTTCATGCGACGATGGTCGAAAGAGATTAAATTGGCTAAATCAGGGAAGCTTGAAAAGGCACGTTCGGAAGCGTGTCGCAAAGAAACTGTCGGTGAGTGTTCTGCTCTGCTAAACACCCCTACCGAATACATTCAATAGCAACTTTATAAATTCAAAATACCTTTTTGTAGAATCCTGGTTCAAACATCTAAAGGAAGTTCTGACCAAACACAAACTATTTGATCGACCTGAAGCATTGTGGAATGCTGATGAAAGCGGTTTCAGTGATGATCCGAGCCAACGATCAGTGATAATAAAACGAGACAGTAAATGGACAATATCATCTCAATCTGGTACCGGCAAATCATATACTACACTGATCATGTGTACTTCAGCAAGTGGCGAGTGAGTTACACTTTTCTCTTCGCATGTATGATTATAATCTTTTTTTCTAGGAAACCGCCACCATATATAATTTATCGAGGTGTCAAACTGTGGTCTACATGGGTTCCAAAAAACGGATTTCCAGGAGCTCGTTACAATGTTACCTTGTCAGGCTGGGTGGAAGAAGAAGTATTCTATGATTGGTTGGTTCATCAATTTAGCCCTGCCGTTCAACATATAAAGCGGCCTCTAATGCTATTTTTCGACGGCCACCGTGCACATATAAGTGCTCGAATAGTGAAAACTGCAATGGATAATGGAATCGAACTAGAATGTTTACCTCCTCACACAACGACACTGCTACAACCCTTGGATGTCGTCACGTTGAGCAAAGTCAAAACTGCCTGGCGTTCGATTCTGGTTGAACACAATACAAAAACTAATAGTGCTCCAATACAAAAACCAAAATTTTCTTTACTTGTAAGCAACTCTATTGTAGAAAGCTATGTTCTGCTTATCTCAAGTATTATTTAATTTAAAACTGTTTTAGATTTATGAGCGTTGGAAAAATCATTTATTAAAAGGTCACTGTAGTGCTGGCTTTGCGAAAGCTGGTATTTACCCGTATGAGCCTCGTGCTGTTAGTAATGAAAAATTACTTGGTCCATCACCATCAATTACATCGAATGATGGATTAATTGCTTCTAACGATTCAGTTGTCATCAATCGTCGTACTCACCAGCTGATTCGATCAACCTCATGTGATCAACTTTCTACTTCGGGTAAGCTCTATAAAGTATATACAATATTGTTAACAATTTTTTGCAATTGACTTCATAGCTTTGAGTCTCACAACGACTCCTTTACATAGTACTCGATGTATCTCAAATGTTAATTCTCTTTCGCCAATCACGACAAGTAAGTTCTGTTTCTTTCAAACTTAACAGCTTTATGTACAGATTAATTTGCTGAAACAGCTGCCAAAAACACTTTGTCAACTCTCACTGAGAGATAAAGAGATTTCAATATTTCGAAGCCTTCTTTCGGATATACGAAAGTATTATAATAATAATATTCTTTCGTTGTTTCTAGCGGTTTCACATATTCCTCATATTGAAACGTCATCCATGGCATCAGTAATTACAGCAGCATCTTCTAGTAAGTTCTTTCAACAGGAGGTTTTTACCTACTGAAGCTATATTTATGACATCTTATCGTACAATTTTAGCTATATCGTCAACTATGGATGGAACAACGACAACTGTATCGTCTTCTGCTCATGATAGTTCTAATTGTGGTGAGCTTTCCCTCTGTTTATCTTTGGATATTCATGTTGCATTGCTTTAGATTTGCTTTCATCTGATGTACCAGTATTTACCGATTTAACGAATCAAACTGTGAGGATGATAAACAATTCATTATAATCTCCACAAGCACCTATTGACGTACTATCGAATGTAATCACCCAATACATGACAACATCGATAAGTAACACATCAGTGAACCAGCGAAAACAAAGGGTCGATCGAAGTTATGGACGAAGTCTGACCTGCGTAGAAGTTCTTGCACAGTTGGAACAAAAAGAAAAAATGAAAAAGCAAAAGACAGGTCCTCCAGCAAAAAAACAACTGCCCATGGTGTACCAAAAAAACGGTCAGTATTCTTTCAATTCTTCATCACTAAATTTTGAAACTATTCTGGAAACAACATAGATACTGTAACACGACTGACGAGGATATTCGATGAACAAAACGAGCACAATGATACATCTTCACCAGCAAAAGTCGATTCAAATTTAGTTCCTACTCAATATGCAAGTAATTACCAATTTGCTACAAATTGTCAATCACAACAGTCTTCTTTAAACGATATTCATCAACCTTTACAAATGTATCCTAACTGCTTTCGTTGTAACACACTGATCTACGGAAATTACACTAATTGTAGCAACTGTGGACGGTACTGTTGTAAATTATGTGTGCAAACGTTTTTTTTTCGGATTATATAACCTGTGAACATTGTACAATGTACACTGCTCTTGCTTATACTAAAGGCTTTTGAACTAGTTTTTTTAAATTTCTATTGTTAATATGTTTTGCGCCTTTTTATCATTTGTCTTGATTTCTATATTCTTATCATTTTGTATCAGATGAACATTTGAATTAAATGAAACGTATTGTAAAAGTATCTATTTTTCTAGTTGTAGTTGTCGTGTTACTCATGATCTGTCACTACTCAATACTTGATAAGAGCTATAGAGATGTATAACAAGATAAGATAAATGTTTTTGTCAAAGGAATATTCAAAAAAAATGTAAAGATCTTTTGGAAATTAGTTTTTATAAGTCCTAGTTAAAAGAAGTGACAATGCCCATTTACCCCACACATATATATGTGAGTGCCCATTTCGCCCCAATGGGGTAAATTTGCATCGAATTTTTTTCTGGAGCTCTTCGCAGAATCAATAGTATTTAAATATAACTGAAGTTCTAAAGATGAGATTAGTATAGGGTTGTAGAGAAATGTTTGAGCTACAAAATGATATAAGTTTTATCGAAATTCGACTAAAAATGGTGTCAGGAATTAGATTTTACTGTTCGCACTGAAAATTGCTGAGAATGCCCATTTACCCCATATATATACGTTAAGTGCAAAATCACCCCATTGAGGGGAAGTTTGCACTGATCAAAATAGGTCTCGGGAAAACTGGCGTGAGAAAGTTTCTCGATGAGATATTGAGAAACTGAAAACGTAGATCGATAGTTGCCCCTTCTTACTCTATTTTTGCTTATTATAAGAAAAATTTTTTTTTCAAATTTTTTTAGTATTTTTTTTAGTATTTGATGAATATCATTTTGTTTTTTATCACTTCTGTTAATATATAATCAAGTTTCTTCGTATGCAAAAAAAAATACATTTCGTTTTCAATCAGATAACAAGTAAGATTCTATTCTATATTCATCAAAAAATTTAGTCCTTGAAACGCAACAATTAGCATCATTTAATGATTATTGCGATCAGATAATAGAATGTGCTTCATTGAATATGGTTTGTAAAAAATATAGATGTCAATGTATCGCCAATAGGAAACAAGTATAGTTTTGGACTGAAAAACAATGTCAGGAATGTATTCACGGCTGGAATTTATTTGCTGGTAAAATTATTAAACTCGTTAAACTAAAAAAATACAACAGAAATATTCGCGAGTTGCTCATCAATAAGTAAACAACATACATTTGATTTCTATTAATAATCGATTATATTGAAGTTAGTCAAAAAATAAAATTATGCGAATTTTGAAAGGCAAGGCAGAGATATATTGGACATGACTGAGTATGAAAACAGGAATCTTTCTCACATTTACATTCTTATCTGCGAGTTCATACTACTTTCGACTAACTGAAAGTTTACCTTCATATTGATCCTTATTGCTACATTATCACTGTTTTGTATCTGACAGGTTTTCTCATGCGTTAATACGCTAAATTACTTTTTGCAGCGTGAAAATTAATCTATCTGATGGAGATTTTCAAATATTTTCTTGTTATTTAATATTCAACATATTTAGGTACTAATTGTTTACATTTTTTAATGAAAACAAAACTTGGTTTGATGCTCGTATTTATTGTCACAAATTCATATTTTAAATCAGATTATTCGCCTACTCGTATAAGGACAATAGCTAGTGCAAGTCTATTTCTAAATGATAAATCAGGTTGCTTTATAAACTTCAGTTTTTAGTCTTTATGTAGCTAGCTGACGCAACTACTATTTGTTGAGGAGTTCCAGATCTTTGGTGGTATTATCCATTATATAAATATTACTAAAAGATTTCGTTTATGGTTTATCAAACGATGGAAGAAAAATATATCCGATCAGAGTAATGACAAGTTTCGAAATGAGTATAACAACCCTGAAGTATACATACGACGGACATCTTGAAGGATGAGTGATCATCAATGTCTTGATGATTCGAATATGAAATGTTCATCAACAAATCCATTTATTTGTGAAAGAAATAAGTCCTTTTAAAAAGAATTCATTTGATATAGAAAAAAGAGCTATTGTAATTTAACGGAACATAGTTTATCACATAGTAAACGATCAAATAGTAAATATCTAGAATAGACTGTATACATTGAGTTAGAGACACATCTGAAGGGATTTTTTGTTTTTTGTTTTGATCGGATTTAATCTAAAGAACATAATGACACTTTACCAATTGGTAAACTATAAGAATAGTCATTACATAATTGATTGATTGGCCATATGAGTTATTCTGAATTTATCATAAATGGAACTTATTGGTACAAGAGAAGGATGAGAAAAAAAGATTTCAGTAACCTTCATTTTATGTTAATAGTCATATCACAAAAAATATCTTCTTTGAAGACGTCATACTTTCTAAAAAATTAAATGCTAGTAGAATAAATAAGTTCAGGATTTAATATCCCTTTTAGTCTTTGTCAGCAACGAAAACAAAAGGATCATAATTCGATCAAAATCTTTCTCTGTCTATATTTCATTAGAAAATTTAGCTTAGTGTTCAAATAAACCTGGATAGATCTTTAAAGCCATCAATGACTTTTGTTTTTGTTTGCTGTAAGGTACAACAATTACTGATAATACAACTTTATTTATCATAGATGGTTCTATTACAATCCTTATTTTCATCATACTATTTGTTTGCCTCATATTGTACATTATTCAAAAAGGACCCTCAAAAACTACGATTGATTATGACGATGATTATTCATATCAATTGAATTCACTTGAATATTTTTGATAATGTATTTTTCCGACGAATTTTTTTGAAACTTTTGATATTTTTATTTTCTTGAAATGTTTAATTCATTCACAAAAATAACAAAGGCCAAAAAAAGTTCTATGTTTAACAAAAAACGTTTTTTTTGTATTGCTAATAATGAACGTAACACAAGAAGATTTCAATGAACAATAAACTATTTTTTATGCAATGTGTGTGAGAAACACAGAACAAAAACAGTACTACTCTTTTCTTTTCCTTAGATATAATTCATTCAAAATCAGATTCAGAATCAACACACACATGCGAAGAAAAAACAAAAAATAAATCAAAGAACTAATACTCTTATTAAACAAACCACATTTCATTTTCCATTTTAGGATCAAGTACCATTAGTTTTGTTTTTATATCATCGATTGAAACGCATTCTGAGTTTTCAATAAATCCATCCTCACATTCTTGCTCATGATTATCATCAAAATCAAATGTACGTGATGCATAGGCAGCTAGATGAGCATAATGAATGGGTGCCGGTATTGATACTGCTTTTGAACAGCGAGCATCGGTATGACAAAGCTAGAAGAAGAAAAAAGTAATTGTAATATAATATGTGCAAAAATCAATTGTACCCAATATGTTAATTGTTGAATTTCATCACTTGAAAAACCAATTTCATCGTGAAGAATATGATAGAGAGCCGGACGAGATGTTCCCATGCTTGAAAGAGAAAAAAAACAAAAAGATTCAAGTCTTAAAATCGATTTGTTACAGTAGAATATTTTACAGTGCGGCTTGAGAACATAAATAAAAATCAAATTGTGATGGATGAGTTATTTGTTGATCAACAACTGTTCCTGCTTCAACATTTTTTGTTGCTTGTCCATCATAAGCAAAAAATCGTGTATTATGCCTCTTCTTTACAATAATAAACGTCAATTTTGGTTGTGCACGATTAACATAAATAGCTGAAAAAATAAAAGTTTGGATTTAGAAAAATATTCTTTTCGTTTGTAATTTTTTCCTACTTCGAAATGCTTGTTTTATTTTCGCAACTTCATTATCAAGTACTTTTTGATATTGACCATCATCAACTCCGTCGCGATAAAAGACAATTTTATTTGGCAAACGAGTTCCACATGAGCGAGCAAATAGTTCAAGTAATTCAACAACCATTTTATCCAAATCTTTGATAATTTCCATTGAACAACGTCCCGATTTTGGATATTCTAATATATAAATTTCAAAAAACACCATTTTTCCTTTAATATGAACTTACGTTCACTAAGACGAGTAGCATAAAGAGAATTTGTAGGATCACGTGAACCAACAACTGCTGCAATCGATGGTCGTTCAGCTGAACAAGTTGTATGCGTCACCTAATATAAAAAGAAATATACATCAACGACTCTGAACTAAAGTTTTGTTCATTTTGTTTTTATTTAAAAGACAGAAATTAACGTTTTTCTAAAAAACAGCCTTTTTTGCCCTGTCAATTCAGCTGTTTGGAGAATTTTCAGTACCTCGAGCTCTGATCTAGTTTTCTATGGAAATGCTAGTCTATCAGACACAATAGTACTTATCGCCCAGCGATGGAAGTGTACAATAGTAGATGACCGTTGCATTTCATTCTGCTGATAAGGTTTACTTTTTTTAACTCGTCCCATCTTTGCACAATAGTATATACTAAGAAATAAATGATAGTCACTAGGATACAGATATGTCTTTGATCGTATATGGAAATCTAAATTTACATCCGATATACTTCAATACTGGTTTTTGTTTTGCAATGTAATATTTTTGATGGAATCTATTGCATGCGCTACTATGTATTTACCTTGTCTGATTGAATTCACTTTCCATGCATGATATTCAACCTGGCTCTGTCATCGATGCTTATCATATACTTTATCATTTTTTCTGTTATGACTATGTATTGTAAACAATGTTGTTCTCCTCAATTCTTCTATCGCCCTTACATACATTTTTGTTTTCTGATAACTCCTAATTGTGTATATAAGTGAGTATTTTTGATTTAAGCAATACGACAGTATAATATGAAGAAAAAGAATAAATTATAATGTCATCGTGGGAATATTCTATCAGAAACGATTATATAACCAGGGTGGCCAGATCTTCTGAAAACTAGGGAAAATTTCTGAATTTTGATCATGTTTCTGATTTTTTCTGAATTTGGAATATTTTCAGATCGCTGTTTTTGTCACTGAAATTAGGTACGATTATAACCCATTACTATAATAAATCAATAGTGTTTCATCCATTTTCTGTATTAATCATCGTTTATATTCCTCGTTCGAATT